TTTTTTTTTTTTTTTACAATTATTGCAATATATTACAGAGAATTTATTCCAATTATTTTGTGTATTATTTTGTATGCCACACACTCAGATGAATCAGTGAACCATTTCAGAACAAACTGATTCGATTCATTAAATTGTTATATGCCTTGTTGATTTTTACCTCTGTTTGATATCACTAGGAAAAAAAAAAAAGTTTTGTTCTGCTTTTATTTTTAATGTTTCTTTATGAAGCTGAATACAAAAAAACAGTGTTCATGAAAATTATAAAAAATATGTTGACAACTTATACAAGCTAATCTGTTATTACTCATAATAAAAATGACATGGTACATCTATAATACTTAATAATAATAATAATTATAATAGTTATATAATACTATATAATGTAATATATTATAATAATAGCGAACAACAACAGTTTAACATAAACACTTGCCAAAAGTGAGGCATCCAAAACTTCAGGAGTGTATGTTGCATGATTTTTGTCTTTTGTGACTGGAATGTTCCAGAATATTCCAGAATGTTACAGAAACTTCCAGAATGTTCCCATCCTTACAAAAGCAAAATAAAGCAGAAAAACTAGTACAAAATTAGCACAAAAACTTATCTGTACTAAACCAACATTTCATAATTAATGAAAAGTTTGAAAAATTTCCCTGACCTAAATATTTACCAAAATATTGATGGTACGTGAAAATAAATGGTACATTAATAATTAGCACGACAGAATTACAGAAGGACCATAAAACAGCTGTGCCATGTGATGATGTCATTAGGTCAGATTGAGTTAGACCTATCGGACTGCACCATCTAGAGTTTCATGCCAGAACTCTGTATTGAAACAAATTTTTGTTACGTCGTGTATTACAAAAAACAGCAATGTTACATTGTGGCCTACTGAGAAATGTAGTTCAGAGTAATGACGGTACTTTTACTCTCCAGCACTGGTGTTCGATAGCGTTTTATCTGGTGTGTGTGTGTGTGTGCGAGTGTGTGTGTGTGTGTGTGTGTGCGCGAGTGAGCGAGTGAGTGAGTGTGCGAGTGAGTGAGTGTGCAAGTGAGTGAGTGAGTGTGTGTGTGTGCGAGTGTGTGTGTGTGTGAGGGTGAGTGAGTGTGCGAGTGCGTGTGAGGGTGAGTGAGTGTGTGAGTGAGTGTGCAAGTGAGTGAGTGAGTGAGTGAGTGTGTGTGTGTGTGTGTGCGAGTGTGCAAGTGCGTGTGTGTGTGAGGGTGAGTGTGCGAGTGAGTGAGTGAGTGTGTGTGCGAGTGTGTGAGTGTGCGAGTGAGTGAGTGAGTGTGTGTGTGTGTGTGTGTGTGTGAGTGTGCGAGTGCGTGTGTGTGTGAGGGTGAGTGTGTGCATGTGTGTGTGCGAGTGAGTGAGTGCATGTGTGTGCGAGTGAGTGTATGTGTGTGCGAGTGTGTGCGTGTGTGTGCGAGTGAGTATGCGAGAGAGTGAGTGAGAGTGAGTGTGTGCTAGGCTTGCCGCGATAGACGGTGCTGACGGTGATACCGGTGTTAAGCCGCAACACCGGTTATGTCACTTGCCCACCGCGTCACCGACCCCCACCGTCGTTTTGATTTTTTATAGTAATAAAAATCATTTAGTTCAGTAAAAGAACAGACACTACAATTAAAAACTGAACGCGGCAGCTCAATGCAGTGTGCCGAACGACAGTCGCATCACAGATCAGATTTAATTTCTCCAGTGAGGAGAGTGAGTCGAGCTGACTGACAAGAAGAGTG